GAATTACTTATCCCTCGATGAAAATCCAAAAATTTCCTTTAGATTTTAGAAATGTGTTATCGAATGCACCTCAAATACATCGAATACACGTGTAAGTGATTCAAACCCTCATGTTATAAATAAAAAAATAGTTCGGAAATATACTTCCAGAATAAATCTAGAAGTATACTTCCATAAATTCTTGCAAAATACTAACTTTAATATTGTTTACGCACTACACCATATCAAAGTACAATCAGGCTAAATATTCAAAAGGAAAACAAAAAGGCCGGGTAACAGGTTCCATATCAATCAGTCAAAGGCTCGAGGAATTGCAAAACATCATTAACTAACAAAAAATCACAAAGTAGCCATCAACTAAAGTGTGATCTCATTCTTTATCATTAAATAAGCATTAGACATATTCCCCAAGTCCCAACATTTTTGATGATAACAATTAACGAAACATTATATTCCAGAAGTATACGGAAGTATTCCATATTTATTTCGAAAGAATATTCTCAGATTATTTTTCTTACAAATTAAGAGTGTAACTCACTTACACATGTATTTGGTGTATTTAGGATGCGTCCAGAAGTAAGGTTCAGTTTGGTTTGGTTGATTTTTAAAAGTAAAATCAACCACATCAAACCAAACTAATGTAGTTTGAATTGGTTTGATTTTTTATATGATTTTTATGAGGCATACATACACATATAGATGTTAACATAATTTTATGTTTAATCATTCATACATTAATATAAAATAAGTTTGTAATTGTCAAAATAAGTTTATAATTTGATACATAAATATGAATTACATCTTACAATTATATATATATATATATATATATATATATATATATATATATATATATATATATATATATATATATATATATATATATATATATATATATATATATATATATATATATATATATATATATATATATATATATATATATATATATATATACATTCTTAAATAAATAAATTTAAAATAATATACTATGTAGTTATAAACAAGTGCATGTGACTATGCTAACCAGATAATAATATTTTTTTATTATCAATATGTAAATTTTCTTTCAATCTTATCCTTATCAACGTCACAAAATTAAAAATAAAAATAAAAATAAACATAGCAATTTCATTTCAGATAAAGATAATATTATTTATAAATAAATTATATTTTATGTTTTGTTGTTATATAAATTAAAATAAATATTATATAAAGAATACGATGAAATATTACATAATATTTATTGAATTTACTAAATAATTAAAAGATATGTATTGATGTGTAAAATTTTTAACATAATGCAGTTTGTTTTTGTTTGGTTCAGTTTTCAAAATACAAATCACAAACCGCAACGTGTGGTTTTATTAGAAAATGGTCCAAACACATCCGAATCAAATATATATTTTTTTGCAATTCTCAATTTAGTTCGGTTGATCGGTTCGGTTTTAATCACTCCTATTCGCAAGTATACTTCCAGATTTATTTTGAAAAATTATTTCTAGATTTTTTACAAAATGAGCATGTGGCTCACTTACGCGTGTATTTGGTGCACTTGAGGTGCGTCCGAAATGCATTTTCAAATTTTAAGAAATTTTTTTATTTTATACTAAGGTGGAGAACCAATACTTAGAGTATATTAAACAATTTCCTTTATCAAAAGAGGAAATAATGGGCTGGCCCATTTCCTTGTCAAGTATGCTATTGAAGTCCAAGATCCTTATTAAAAAACTTTATCCATACCCCTAATTATCCCCAACATTATATTTTTCAAAATATTCAAATTATATTATTTTATTTATTATTTCTCTTTCAAAATCGAAATTTTTGTATCCATACATACATCAATATACTGGAGAACGACACTTAAAGGATTCTAATACGCAATGTATTTTTATCAGATGAATTGTAATAAAATTTTTGATATTATTATTGTTTTATCAAAATTTTACTCACCGAATAACTTGTTATAAATTTTCCTTATATAAAAGTCTAATCTGATTTAGAGATGAGGCCTATATAATAAAAAAAAATGTATTTATACAAAAGCGGTTGAACTAGCGTTTAGCCCACAAAAATAATAAATTTATGTTAATGGTAACGAAATTAATATTTTTTTTATTTATAATTATCTTTTAATCTTAAATATATTTGTTCAAATGCTGACTACGTGATATTTTTATATTTAGAACCAGAACCTATTCTTAATTTGAATAGTTAAAATATATAAAATTACTTTACCAAGATACTAATTTTCGCATGGCTGTAACTACCCGTTGTAAAAAAAATTATGTGGAGAAGAAAATGAAACAGATGAATGGAAAACGAGAAGTGAACAAGGTGTTTAGGTTTTGGAGGGGAAAGGGAAATTTTTTGAGAGAGGGGGATAAAAAGAAAAATGGATAAAATTTTAATTTAATTAAATAAATATTTTTAGTCAAAATATTATTTTTGATCATGTATATTAACGTTGACATTTATTTTAGTTTCTTAACTTAAAAAAAATTTATATTGATCTCTTAACTGAAAAATTAATCCTTAAATTTATTACTAATTAGATAAAATAAATAAAATAAAGCATTTCAAAGAATTAAAGAATCAATATGAATCTTTTTTTTAATTAAGAAATCAAAATGAATCTTAATGACAAAAAAAATATTTTATCATATTTTTATATATAATGATAATCTGTATTTAGAATTAATATATTTTTAATATTTAAACAATTAAAATTGTGTAGATTAAATTTAAATAATATTAAAAATCTTATTTTAATATAATTTTTTAATTTTTTATATTACTGAAATATTATAAATAAAAATAAAACGAACTTAATATACTTTAGAATTTAGTTGAGAATTTAGTTGAATATCTACGCATCACAGAATCATCGTATATCAATTCTTATATTTATATTTATATTAATCAATTAATAAATTAATATATATTTTAAATCAATTTAATTTATTCAACAAAACACAAAAGTACCTACTAATTTATCTAAAATAAATTTCTCAAAGTCATCTTTTCTCAAAAACACATTTTATGTTATTAAATCTGTGAATGGATAATTCTCCATACATCTGAATATAAAAGTTTGAATTTAAAATCTATTATTTTTCACTTGTTCACTTTTATTCATTTTTTAAAAGTGAAATTTCGACCATTAAATCATCATATAGAAAAACATTTATTCTTTTACTTAATTCTTTTTCTTTTTTTCAAAATCTTCTCGTACCTTTTCCTAAACAAAATCTTATGATATCAAATTTGGTTGCAAGTGCTGGGGGTGGGGGTATAGATGCTTCAAAAGCATGTGGTACATAATATCTATTACTTGCTCGTAGATTGAAATTAAATAGGTTGTTTTAAGGATTATCTAAGAATAAAATAAATAGATATTTAATTATCTATTTATTTATAGGTATAGATATGAATTTAATGATATCTATATTAAATATCAGTTAATAATTAATAAAATTATTTAAATATTAATTTATTTAATTTATAATTATTAATATTATTATTTATTGTTATTATTATTATTATTATTATTATTATTATTATTATTATTATTATTATTATTATTATTATTATTATTATCTTGTTTAATATGAAATTATTATTATTTTGTTAAGTATAATATAATTATTTATAAAAAGAAGAAATAAAATAAATGTGATTTATTTATTTATTGTTATTATTTTTTTTATTATGTATTTGAAACTATTTTATTGTCTTTAAAAGGATAAAAAATTTAATTTATTATATATTTAAAAAAAATAAAAATATCTATAAATATCCGTATATATCCGCGGATATCTCAAAATCCATGAATATCCACACGGATATAGAGTGGATATAGATATTATATTTACTAAATAAAATGGTTAACAGAAAATTAATACCCATGTCCATGAGTACCTGTTATCATCTCTAATTGAAACTACTCAATAGTATCATCAATAGTATCATCAATAGTATCAATAATGTTTTAAATTTATTGAAGATGGCAGAGGCTTTAAAGTCATCAAAGTTTATATGCTTAAAAAAAGTCATCAAAAGAAGCTGTTGATGGCAGAGAGAGAATTATGTTGCAATAATAGTGAATTTGATGTGAGTGTTGAACTGGTATTGGACCAGTGTGCTGACACTTAAAACAATTGCTGAAGGAAAAAGGAAAAGAGGAGTGCATGACATTTGACACTAGTGGTGGTACCCATGAAAGGGCTGAAGAAACTTGACTCATTGTTTGCTACATTTATCTACTATTATTATTAAACATTGGACTTCACCGTAGGAATACAATATAGACATATAAAAAATATTAGACCTGACAACACTACGTATATAATAGAATGCACACGGATCTATCCTGCTGTTTATATACTGCCATCCATACTGCCTCTTATTCAACAGCTAAAAAAATTTGAAGTAAGAAAATAAAAACAATATTGAATAAATATCAATGGTGGAGATTGTAGCAGAATTGAGGGAAAGGGAGAGGATCCAGATCCATAATAGAATAGTGTTTGAGCTTCACTTATTTAACTAGTATGAAGTTAAAAACACTCTTCATTTTTCCGACACTCGTAGAAATTTTCTAGAAATTTAGCTAGATCCCATTTCTGCGCTTATGCTTTTGTAAATGATAACATAAAGAGAATTGGACACAATGGACTTTACTTTCATTGATGGAATAAGACAACTTATCTACAACCTAGCATACAAGAGAGAAAAATACAAAAGGCATAAAATTAACTGAATTCAAATGTTATTAGCTACATTGTGAATGTTTAACTATACACTTCTCTTATTCTGTTCATATCTCACCTGCTGCTAAACATGCCCTGCCGCAGTAGCTGCATATTTCATGCAGCAATATTTAGGTATGGTAGTAGTTTTAAAGGAGGTAAAAATATTGATAAAATCAAACTAATGTCTTTTCTCCTGTAATATATGCTGAAGGTAATTAAAAATATATGTTTTTCTCCCATGAGCTACCTAGTGAAGGATGAACAAATTGTATCAGAAGACATGTTTAAATCAATGTTGTCAAAATTCATATTCAGTTTAAGAAAAGTTGCAGAATCGTAACAGACGATCCTATCAAATATGAAAAATTACTCTCACATGTGTTTGGTAATGAGGTGAAACACCCCTACCGCGCGTTCAATGTTTTTTTCCACCATAAGTTTGAAAAGGTAATGAATGTAGCTTATGCTCAAGGTGACTTTTTACCGCGAGAGCCAAAGTTTCCAATTATAAACTGAGATCATAATTCAGGTTGGGGAAAAGGTAATCTCCACATTCACACCATAACATATTGATGGCCAATAGGATCAAGATGAGACCAGATGATCCAGATTTCAAGCTTGATATTTTGATTTTTTTAAAAATCAAATTTGCATTGAAATTTAAACCGGCCAATTTCAATCCAACGGCCACCGAAATGCCGACTACGTGAATGCCGAGATTTCAAGGCAATTCGAATTCCATAAACTATAGGAGTGTCAGCAAGCTTTCTCATCTTATTTAAAGTTTAAACTAATAAATACTCAGTACATACTTTTCAGCATATGAAACCATACCCTACTAGTGGTTACATTACATATCATCTAGAGATCCTAAAGTTAACTAAAACAAATCCTAGAGTCAAAATAGAACAATCCTTCACCGAAGAGTTACCCAAATTTATATCTGAGTACACAAACCTCTATTCTCTTCAGTTAGTTCTCAAAACACCACTTCAATATTTCACAAATCATCAAAATCACAGACTACGGAAAAACAACATCAGTACTAACAAGTCGACATTGGTCATAATTTGAAAAAAGAATAAATTAATCGTAATTACAAATATCACTCTTGGTTTCAGACACCAACACTGACACTAACACAAACACACCTTGTATTGGTGGTCCAAAGATTCACAATCCACTTCAATCTACTGCACTTTTGACCTGCATTAACTAAACAAAATCCATCAAAACTCACTCCTTCTAAAAAACCAATGTCTATCGAACTATAATTAACACAAATTACAACAAAATTGTATCACAAACATCATGTGTGCATTCTCTAAAAAAAACATCTAAAATTTTCTCTCCCTCAAATTTTATCACATTTTTCTTACTCAAAAACGAGAATTTGATAAATAAAATAAAAACTGAAAAAAAAGTGAGAGAAAACCTAACCGATGTATCAATCACCGAGGCGCTTCCTGAGATAATTCCTCATCACTTCGCTGCGCTCTTTCACGCGAGCCTGCTGAGGAACAACGTTAACGTACGAGAGATAAGCTCCGGCGCCGAACAACGAAGCACCGACGACAAACATGCCGCCGGTTATGGCTAGTTGCCTCGCCGTCGGCGGGTACGACCACATTAATTTACGAACACCGCCGTCACAAAACGCAGGCGTTGTAACAGTCTCTTCTCACTTTTTTATTTTTGATCAAATTTCAATTTTAATCCTAGAAAACTTTGGACCGTTTGTTACTCATAATCAAAATATATTCTCGGAAATTTATTACCTAGAAAAATAGATTAGAAATTTATTTCAAGAAATTTTTTAAAAAAAATATTTGATAAATATTTTGATATTTCAAGTACCATTATGATTTTAATTAATTTTTAAAAAAAAGTTTAAAAAACTTCATTGAAATATATATATTCTTATTTTTTTATATTAGAATAATTTCATAGAAATATAAAAATATAAAAAGTTATGAAAAATTACTTTTTTTCTTAGAATTTTTATTTTTAAAAAAAAGTTTATTTTTAAATTTGTAAGTGTATTCATTTTTTATTCATTTATTTTTAGAAATCTTGTTTCTGAAACAAACAACTTTTTTAGTTTTATAATGATTTTTTGTCATCATTTTTTTTTTGTAATTTTTTTTCAAGAAGAAAACAATGAAGTAAATTTTAACAATTTAGAAATAAAAAATTTAAAATATTTTATAAAAAAAAATTTTAAGATTTTAAAATAATTTATTAAACCAAAATTACAAATTTAAGATTTTTATCATTTATTATTATCGGATATTCAACTGTAATATTTTGATACACTCAAAATATTTACTTTTGAATGAATCATTCCTAAATAGTAAAATGAAAAAGAATAAAAAGAAGAAAAAAAACATAAATGAATAAAAAGAAGAGTTAGTCAATATTTTAGGCAAAATATTTTGTTTGTCTCGTATGTTAATGTCAGAGTTTATTTTGATTTTTTAACTTAAATAAAGTTCATATTGGTTATTTAACTCTTCAAAAAAAAATTATTTGAGTTCTTTTTGTCTAATTAGCGACAAATTTAACGATCGATTTCTTAGTTTTTCGTTGCTAATTAAATAAAAATGACTAAAATAAGGTGTTTTGAAGAGTTAAGTGATCAATATAAACATTTTTAAGTTAAGGGACCAAAATAAATCCTAACGTTATCATGCAGGATCAAAAAGCATATTTTGCCAATATTTTACTAATAGGTTGGTAAATTTATTTTTATGAAAGTATTTCTTTGTTGTTTGATTTTTATTATTGACGATGGTTATTGTTAGGGGTGGCAAACGGGCATGTTCGCCCCGTTTAGGCCTGCTCTGTAAAAGCCCGCAAAAAGACGGGGCGGGGCGGACATTGTTGAGCATGCGGGGCTAAAACTTATCTCTGCCCCGCAAAAAAGTGAGGGCGAAATGGGAAAAACTCGCAGGCACTGCATCTTTTAAGTCTAAAAACACAAAATTTATGTAAATGCACGTGTCCGCAAAAGTCCACGTATAAAACAGAGCGAAACAAAGCAGACATATTAGAGGGTGATGGCCTAAACCTTGATCCACCCTGCACTAAAGTGCGGGTAAAACAAACATGCTTAACGGATCGGACCTGTTTTGTCACCCTTAATTATTGCTATCTACTGTAAGTATAAATGTTAATGTGTATTCACTATTTTGATAAATTAAGAGTATTATGATTTTAATCTCAACTAATATATATACATATGCGAGACATGAGATAAATAATGGTTTTAATCTCCACTAGTATATATATACTTGCGTGAAATATGAGATAAAATTTCTTATGTTTAAAAAATTTATTTTATAATTATTTATAGTTTATAAAAAAAAAATTATGATAACATAAAAATAAGTGGTAAGGTTATTAGTAGTATATATGAAAAGATGCAAAGTCAGAAAAAAAACTCACCTTGAATATGGAGTATATGCTTGGAGCTTTGGGCTGCCTTTTAGATGTTCTGAGTCAGCAAGAGTGACAAAACAGTGGTTGTGTTCTTTGATTCAAAGGGGGGGAACAAATTAAGGTTTCACCACTTCCGTTTCTCTCTTTTGGCCAATCTCCCTCCAAAAGTCAGCCAACCCCTTGAAAGTGTGATGGAGCATCTTATTTATAGGTGGATTTGTTGTGATTTGAGGGGGGGGGGGGGGGACAAATGGGATTTTAACCTTTTTGCCATCATGTTCCCTTGCCTTTTGATCACATTCTTCGTATGCTAGTTTGGTGCAATTATGGGATGCAGGCGTAGGCTGAATTAGCTGTTGGTTATAGGTCTGCAGCGGGTTGTATAAATAAGGTTTTGGGATTTGGTCAAGTTCTGACCAAAGCGTTGAATATAGCCTTCATATGCTAAGGTGTTGCCTTGTTCTTGAAGCAAGCATGGTGGTTAGCAGCTTTTATCCATGCTTAAGCTGGAGTTGTCAGCAGGAATTAAGGAAAAACAAAAAGCAAAGCATGGGCCTAGTACCAAAGTTTTCTATCCCAAGACAGTACAGGTACACGTGGTGGAAATCCTTTGGATAAAGACTCAAAAGTGGTTGTGAGCATTAAATGAGCATTAAATGATGACGAGACTTATCACAACCAGAAATCCTGCAACGTGAGATTCTACACCATGGCTTAGTTCTGGATCAGAAGTTCTGCTTCAGTGTAGCATCCAATCTCTGATCTTTGTATCTTCTGACTCCAGCATATTCTGAAGGAGCTCTCATACTTTCCAGGAAGCTTGCAGCATGCTTTGTAACCTTCTTTGACTTACCCTCGCAAAATCTGACTGAACCTTTGTGAAAAATTACCCAGAAGTTCTGACCAAAATCTGTCTTGAAAGTGTCCAGAATTTGCTGAGTGTTTCAGTTTCAAGGACGTGTCTTTGAGAAGTTATAACTTGAACTCCCAACATTTATACGAGAAGTTCTGTTCTGCAATGTTTTAGATCTCATTGAAATCTATAACTATTGTATCAGAAGTTCTGCCATAATCAACTTGAATCATGGTGAAAACCTGATCAGAAGTTATGAGCTTGTCATATTTTCTTAAACACTTAGAAAAAATTCTAAGTATTTAGAATTTTGACTTCTCCAAAGTAGTTTTGACTTTTGAGTTTCTTGATGAAACAAACTTCATATTTCAACATGTCTTGATGAAAAATGATTTTTGAAATTTGATTTTGATCCAAAAGTGAAAGTTTGACTTTTCAGCGTGCAAATGACCATTTTTCCCTTGTGAGTGATTTTCTTGGAAAGTTTGTAGTTCAAGGCTTGGAATTAGATGGAAGCAAACTTGAGGATTCATGGTGATTCTTTGAGAAGTGAGAGGGTAAATTTTGGGGTGCAACAGACCCTAATGAACATGTCTTGAGTAAAAATGGGGGGGGGGGGGAATTTTATGATACAATAGCTGCCCCTATTTAATCTTCTTAAACCTGAGGATTTAGATTGACTTGTATGCCTTTCGTGATCTGAAGGTGGAAGATGATTGAACACTAGAGTGCCTAGAAATTTGCACTCGCATGAAGTAACATTGTTGGTTGATGATATCAGGAATGGGCTTACAAATTCCATTTGAAGAAGATGATTGAGATTTGTCGGAGATGGTCTTAAAGATGCCATCCAAAGTAGATGCTGACTACATAAGAGGTCTCTTTATGGGGATTCCTGTTCTCGTTGTCTGAGGAGGACTCCACTGGATAATGTTGATTTCTGTTCTTTTGCTTGAGGAAAACTCTGTGGAGAATAAAGTCTAGGAGCTTTAGTTGTCCATGGATCTACTGAGGCGTTATCTCTGGAGTGGAGAGATGAAAGTTAGTTGTTTTCTGGTTGAAATCCAGGATTCGCAGTAACTTACTGGGGAAAATGAAATTAACTGTTATTTGGAAATATATTAGAAGGAGCATGTGTAGGGCTGCTTCAGGATGAGTCCGTGTTAAACTTCATATGGTGTGAGTAATTATTTCTCCAACATTTGATATAAGGGCGCCTAACAACCCAGAAGAAGAAGTTTCTTCTTCCAAGGAAGTCTCAGACATCCCTTCTGACCTAGAATCGTCAAATATAGATATAATTTCTGGTCCCACATGATTACTATTATGGGAAAGATGATGAGAATCATGGGATGATACGTATGAAGTTTCCATCTAAGAACCACTCACTAAATCAACACTATTATAGTTCATCCTAACCATAAAGCTGGGAAGCTTAATGTAAAACTCGAGTTAGAAGGGTACCTGATTATGGGGAATCGATGATGTAGAAGGAATGAAAAATGCTAAAGCTTTAAGCGAAACTTTGAATCACTTCTAGTGACATTCTTAGAAAAAAAGGAACGAAGACATTTTTCTGGAAAGTAACTGAAAGCTTGAAAGTTGAAAGGATGTGAAAATTTATAAATATTCAACTCACTCTCATTATAAGTAATGACACATGAAGGATCGAGACTAACTATGAACATAAATCACAAGATCAACGGTTAGAATTCCACTTGTGGAAACACTCCAAACTCAAGTGCACTTAAGCACTCTATGAACTACGCCATACCCTAACTGGTCACATCATCGCACATGTCAGAAATTGTCGACGAAACGTCTTAATGATGGAACCATATTAAATGCACCTGTTCCCCATTACATTTTCAAAATTGATCTTAAGTGATTCAGTTCTATTCCACATCGAACTACAATGTGGATGCCAATAAATGATACTTAAGGCTTCCCCTTATCACTTAAGTGTCTGGCGAAGCCTTGGGCAACTGTTCTGGACCGACCAAAAGACCCTATTCACCAAGGCCCAATCCATCTCAAGCCAATATATAAAAACAGTTAATGTGCTATGAGAATGTTCACAATCTCATATTTCAATATACTGATCTTAAATCTTGAAAGGACTTGAGAATTAGAGTGCTAACTGTTGTACCCCAAAATTTGCCCTCCCATATTCTTCAAGAAATTGCCAAGTCATCCTTCAAAATTCCCCAAGGGTTGCACAGTGCAAAGGTCTCCTATACAGTCAAAATTAGGGTTTGTGTTCTGATCAAGAAAATGAAATTTCCAAAGGCCCAATCAAGTCTCACATGCCTACAAATATGGTCAAGTATCCTCAT